CGATAAAAAAGAAATTTGCTTGCCTTCGGATTTTTTAATTGAAGAAAAGTTTTTAATTTGTCGAGAAATTGTCATTTCATGTTTCTTCGCTATATATATATAGAGAGAGAGAAGATATCATCTCTAGAACAAAACTGTGGGGAAATATTTACTTCGTTATTAAAGTGATGTGACATAAAAAATTACTTTGATTAAGAATGCCTCTTCTATTTAAAAGAAACGTTTCATTTAAGTAAATTAATTGAAGTGATTTTTTTCCCGCAAAATTTATTTTCTTTTTCGCAAAAAAAGAAAACTTAATAATTCTAATTTTAAAGAAGAATTGCATTTTTCCTTCTTTTTTTTAATTGAGAGGAAAAATAGTATCGATTTGAAGAAAAAAATGTGAATATATTTTTCAACATTAATTCTACTTTACAACGTTTTTTCCCCAATGATATAGATCTTCCCACGCGCTTTTAACAAAAAGATCCCTTGGGACTGAAAAAAAAAATTGTCATCCTCTCAAAGAGTTTTCTTTTTTTTTTTGTCAAAACTCATTCTTTTTCATCTTTCGACGCACCTAAAGAGAATAAACGTCTGGAATAATAATTTCATTTTATAAACCCACCCAATTTCTTGAAAAATTGAATAAGAAAAACAAAATTAGTATAACAAATATTATTTTTAGAATTTGTTATCCAAAAGGGTATTAATTTTTTTTTTATCGTTCTTTTAATATTGCTGAAAGTATTTTTCTGGTTGAAAATGATGAGAAAACAATGAGAAAAAAGTAATAAATAAAAATTAGTGTAGAAATTTAAAAATTACAAAACTAAATAATTAGTATCAAAAATGGAAAATTAGTGAAAATAAAAAATTCCTACGACTATAAAAAACTAGTGTGAGAAGAAAATTAGGAAAAATGAAAAATTATACTCTAAATAAAAAATAATATTTAAATTTAAAATTTAAAAATTTAATAATAATTTTAATTCTAATTTTAATTTAAATTAAATTTTTTTTTATTAATTTAATTTAATTTAAAATAGCACTTAAATTTTAAATTAAAAAATTAAAAAATTATGCTAAATCAAAAATTAAGAAGAAACTACAAAAATATAATAAAAATACAAAAAATTTTTTTTTCGTTGACCTAAAAATGTAATTTTTGTTTCTTCTTTCATTATAATGAATTGAAGGGTTAAAAAAAATGGGAGCGGAACTTTGAAATTGACTGTGTCCGGAAATTAATCCACATTCGAGGTGTGCGTTAATGGATGAAAAAAAAAAATTTTCTTTTTTTAATTTTATTTAATTTTTCATTGGAAGCTGTTTTTGTATTTTCCAAAGGGAAGTAAAATATGATTGGACATCAGGGAGAGAATCCACTTATATATAAAAAATTTTTCTTTTTTTTCTCGTCCTTCGGCGTGTTGTGAATATGAAGGTCTAGGAAAGGCTGCTGATTGGTCCCGACGGCATCAGGGTGGTGCTACAACGAATGTAATAAAAATTCACGGCCACGCTTCGAAAATCTCGCTCGCGAGCTTTCACGTTGGCTATACGAAAACGCGATTACAATTTATTGTCAAAGACTTAACGCGCTTTCCGTTAGGTTTCCTTTCTTTTCTTTTTTTTTATTTTTATTTCTTCTAGCACCATTTAGGGATAACATCCAAGTTTCAAATCGCCCTCTTGTGTTTATGGAAATTTTTTCTCGTTTGCTCCTGTTTTCTGTTTTTCTTTTTTCTTTTTTGTTTTTATATTTATTTTTAGTTTCATTATTCAGGTAAAAAAAAATTTTTTTCGTGTTTTTTAATTTTTATTAATTGAAAAATTATTGGAAAACAACCATAACTTCATCTCTAATTAAATATTTATTTATTATTATTTTTCTATAGGAATTGAGATGTTCAAAAATTTTAAATTCAAACCTCTTTGAAATTCAACAACTTATAACTAAAGATGACCGAGTGAAAAGATTATTATTTTATATTATAAGAAAAAAAAATTCTTCTCCAAATCAATTATTTTTAATAATGTTTGAAAAAGTTCTTTGAAAATTCTCAAGAAAATAATAACTTTAAATAATTTCAAAAAAAGAACAATTAAAGTTTTTCAAAAAAATAATTCTACAGCATTGTGAGTAAAAAGTATGAAAAATTCGAATTTTCAGAGATTTTAATTTGAAATCTTTTCAAAATTCAATTATTATCTAAAATTATAATTGAAACTTATTTTTAAATTAATTTTTATTAAAAAATTCTACGAGAATTCAATTATGTAAATAAATAAATTTGTTTATTAAATAATTTATTTTCAGAAATTTTAATAAAATTCTTTGCAAAATTCAATTATTTTCATAAATAACAACATTCATGACAAGAATTCAATTATTTTAAAAAGTAATAAAATTCTTCGCAAGAATTCAATTATTTTCACAAGTAATAAAATTTTTCACTGAAATTCAATTATTATTATTTTTTTATTTTTTGTTGTCATATTTATTTTCAGTTTCATTATTCACGTTTTAAAAAAATTTGTTTCCGTGTTTTGCAATTTTTATTAATTGTAAAATTATTTGAAAACAACAGTAACTTCTTCTTTAAATAAATATTTAATTATTATTATTTTTTATTATTTTCCAGTAGGAATTAAGACTTTTTCAAAAATTTCAAATTCAAACCTCTTTGAAATTCAAAAACTTATAATTAAAGATGACCCAGTGATAAGATTATTATTTCATATTATAAAATTATTGTTAATATAACTTCTTTAAAATTATTTTCATCATTTCAATTTAATTATTATTTTCTAGAATTTTTAACTAAAATTATTTTCTAAATCAATTATTTTTAATAACGTTTGAAAAAGTTCTTTGAAAATTCTCAAGACAATAAAAACTTCAAATTATTTAAAAAAAAGCACAATTAAAGTTTTTCAAAAAAATAATTCTACAGAATTGTCTGTTAAAAGTTTAAAAAATTCGAATTTTCAGATATTTTAATTTCAAAACATTTCAAAATTCAATTATTATCTAAAATAATAATTGAAATTTATTTTTTAATCAATTTTTATTAAAAAATTCGACGAGAATTCAATTATGCAAATACAAAAATTAATTAATTTAGTAAATAATAATTGAATTTTTCTTAATATTTAATTCTTATAAAGAATTTTATTAAGAAATTTTTAAATAATTGAATTCTTTTGACGAATTTAAATAAAATTACATTTATTGAAGAATTCAATTAAAATTGTATTAAAAATAATTGAAATTCTTCCATGAGTTTTATTTTAATTATGAAAATATTTAATTTCTAAAAAATGTTATTATTTATGAGAATAATTGAATTATTACGAAGAAATTTATAAAACATTTGTTAATTGAATTCCTGTGAAATTTTTATTATTTTTGAAAACAATTAAATGTTTGCGTAGAATTATATCAAAATTTTTATTAAATAATTCAATTCTTTTAGAAAATTTCATTAAAATAGTAGACATTGAAAATATTTAAATTTAGGAAATTTTTGGAAATAATTGAAACTTGAAGTAAAATTTTACTAAAATATCTGAAAATAATTGAATTATTTTGGAAAATTTGATTAATAATAAATAGTAGATATTGAAAATCATTAAATTGACGAAAATTTTTGAAAAAATTGAAATTTTGTTTAAAATTTGTTGAAAATGAATTCTTTTGGAAAATTTTATTCAAAATAGTAGATATTGAAAATCATTGAATTGAGAAAATTTTTTGAAGATTTATGTCAAGAATTTTATTAAATTTTTTGAATATAATTGAAATTTTGTGTAAAATTTTTGAAAATAATTTAATTCTTTTATAAAATTTTATTAAAAAATGGTAGATATTGAAAATCATTGAAATGAGCAAAATTTTTGAAAATAATTGAAATTTTGTTTAAAATATTTTGAAAATAATTGAATTCTTTTGGGAAATTTTATTAAAAAATAGTTGATATTGAAAATCATTGAATTGAGGAAAATTTTTGAAAATAATTGAAATTTTTCCTAAAATTTTATCAAAATTTTTGAAAATAATTGAAATTTTGCCTAAAAAATTTTATCAAAATTTTTGAAAATAATTGATTTCTTTTGGAAAATTTTATTAAAAAATCGTAGATATTGAAAATCATTGAATTGAGGAAAATTTTCAAAAATAATTGAATTTCGGAGAAAAATTTTTTTATTTATAAAGATAATTCTTTATAAGAGTGCTTTCTTAAAAAATTCTTTTTTTTATTAAAAAATTGATTTATTCAAATTTAAGGAAACTTTTTTATCAAGTTCATGGTTTTTTTTAGTACTCGGAAATCATTTTTAAACATTTTTTTTTAGTGTAGAAAATTTGCAAGAATCATGAATGCATTTTTATGAACGACAAAACGATTTTCGGAGCGTGGCTTCTTGTAAAAAAAACAGAGGGGTTTTGGCGGGGCACAGAGGGTTCCAGGGGGTGGGGGAAGTACACGAACGATAGGGGAGAGTCATTGTGAGGGCGTGGGTCGTACAAAGGAAGTGAGACGATTAGGGCGCCACTCTAACATTTTTTATCACTCTTCCCTTTTTTTCTGTCTCATTCCTCCCTTTCTCTTTTCTTCTTTCTTTCCTTTTTTTCCCTTCTGCCTCCCCCTATCTATATGTATGTTTTCCAACCAATTTCTCATTTCGAAATATCCTCACCTTTTCTCCCAACTTATAAACAGTATTTTTCTTTCCACACACAACTCTCTCTCTCTCTCTCTCTCTCTCTCTCTCTCTCTCTCTCTCTCTCTCTCTCTCTCTCTCTCGATCTATTTGTCATTTATCGACCGATTATTTTCAAATGACTCCTTAAAAAATTTTTTTTTAATTTATTTTTTAATTTATTTTTTAATTTATTTAAATAATAAATTTATTTCTAAATTTATTTAAAAATTTATTTAAATAATAATTTTTTTTCAAAATCGTCATAGATTTTTTCCTTCTAAAAAAAACAAGAAATTATTTCCCTTGTGCGTGAACAAAAAATCAGTAAATTCAAATTTTTTATTATAATCGCATTTACAAAGTAAAATATACAAATTTAAAATTTGAAGAAAAATGAGCTGATATGTTACCTCAATCGTAGAAAATTGACCATAATGCAGGATATCGATAGCGAATTTCCCGAATTTTGGTATTGAAAAAAAAAAATTTATTTACTTACGACAATAAATATATTATTCTATTCCTACTATATTTGAAAGATATATTGTACTATTTTTTCTTTTTCTCAACTCTAGTCCTGTACAATTTTATTTTACATAATATTATACAATGTACAAATATTTGTACAATAATGAATCCCAAAGTGGGTAAAAAAAAAAATTCTTTTTTTTGTTTAATATGAAAATGGTATACCTATGTAATATATATATATTGATTGATTCAAAAATGACAAGACTATATTTTTCCATGTTGGGGGAAAAATATTCCAAAATCGATGACAAAGTATTAACAGAATAAACAAATTTCGTACAATTTTAGAATATCTTTTAAGAGTATAGGTATAATGTTACGTCTTGTCAATTTTGATAATAGGGAGGAAAAAAAAAATTATATACGCTTTAACTTTTGAGTGACACCCTAGACGGGGAGATGGTGCGTAGCATGCTATATGTATATATGATGGTGATTGATAAAGTCATTCGATTTGTGTGTTTGTGTCAGCAAAATAACATTATATGGGAATCGAAGATGATAACGATCTCCTTGTTTTAATCTGTTTGCGATTTTTTTTTTTTTTTTTGCTTTTTTTAACCCCTCGTCGTCGATTATCCATCCCCTTTTTTACAATATATGTCCTCAAGTTAATACTCATCACTGTACAATGATATTCTTCTTTTTTTTGTTGATATCCTCATTTTTCACTCTCGCCCATTTACCATTCCTTTAAAAATTCAGTCGAGGAAACTCGAAAACAACGCGGCAGTGCAGGAATTTCTTTGGTACCTTTTTACCCCAAACCTCCGGTTGTTTTGGTCCCGTTGGTCCGTAGGTTGGAGTTCCTCCTATCGTCATCTGGAACAAGTCAATTAATTTCGTTAATTTCGTTAAATTCGAGAATAAAAATCATAAAAATGGAAATTAATGAAGTTAGTAGCATATAATCTTAAAAAAATTAAATTTTTTCCGTATTCTTTCATTAATTAATTAATTCATTCATTTATTATAGAATGATTGAATGCTTCTTAAAATTTAATTCTTATAAAGAATTTTATTACCAAATTTTTAAATAATTAAATTCTTTTGATGAATTTTAATCAAATTTTTAAGAATAATTACATTTTTCGGAAAATTCGATTAAAATTGTAGAAAAAAAAGAAAAAGAATTTTTTTATTTACGAAAATAATTGAATTCCTAAAAAGACTTTTATTATTTACGAAAATAATTGAATTCCTGTAAAAAATTTTATTATTTATGAAAATAATTTAATTATTGAGACGAAATTTATAAAAAATTTAATAATAATTGAATTCCTCTACAATTTTTATAATTTATGAAAATAATTTCTAAATGATTGAGTACAATTTTATTAAAAAATTAAAAAATTTTTTTTTTAAATTAAAATTTTGTAGGAAAATTTATTAAAATAGTAAATATTAAAAATCATTAAAATCAGAACATTTTTTTCAAATATAATTGAAATTTAGAGAAGAATTTTGTTATTTATAAAGATACTTATGATTTTAACGAGAATTTTTTTTTTAATTTTGCACATAATTGAACTTTTGTAAGAAGAATTTTATTATTCTTTTGAAAATAATTAAATTTCTACAATCATTTGCAACTTTTCTAAAATTAAATTCTTTAAAATGTTTTTATACCTACATTTTTGTATAAATCCATTATTTTTAATAATATATAATATTGTTACTGTAACTTTTTAAAAATTATTTTCATTTTCTATTATTATCTAAAATTTAAAGTAAAATTCATTTTTAAATCAATTTTTAGTAGAAAATTCTACGAGAATTCAATTATTTCAATACAAAAGGAAATTATTTATTGAACAATTCAATGTTTCTTAAAATTTTATTCTTATACAGAATTTTTTAAACAAATTTTTAAATAATTGAATTCTATTGACGAATTTTAATAAAATGACATTTATTGAAGAATTCGATTAAAATTGAATTAAAAATAATTGAAATTCTGCAATAAATTTTATTATTTAAGAAAATAATTGCATCCATGTAAAAAATTTTATTATTTATGAAAATAATTGAATAAGTACGAAGGAATTTGCAAAAAATTTTGTTAATTGAATTCCTGTGAAATTTTTTTATTTTTAAAAATAAATAAATGTTAGTATAGAATGCTATCAGATTTTTTTTTAATAATTGAATTTTTTTGGAAAACTTTATTAAAAAATAGTAGATATTGAAAATCATTAAATTAGAAAAATTTTTTTGAATATAATTGAAATTTTTCGTAAAATTATATTATATTTTAGGTAAATAATGGAAATTTTGCGTAAACTTTTATTAAAATTTTTGAAAATAATTAAATTTCTGTTGAAAATTTTATTTAAAAATAGTAGATATTGAAAATTATTGAATTGAAGAAAATTTTTGAAAATAATTGAAATTTTGGGTAAAATTATATTAAATTATATTATATTAAAAAAATATTTTTAAAAATATCTTTTGAAAGAATATTATATTATTTCGAAATAATAAAATTTTAGAAAAGTCTATTAATTTTGTATGATTTGATAGCCAATTTGAATATATAAAGACTGAGAGACTTGAATAACTAACATATCTACCTGTTTTCTTTTTTTCATTTTTTTGGGGGTAAAATAAAAAAAATTCTTCAGAATTATGAAACAAATTTTATCTCCTGATAAAAGTTGTACGTCTCTCGAGCTGCTATTGAATAGAAAGAAATTTTCCAAAAGTTTCTTTTTAAAAGAAATAACATTCACAGAGACTTTGAAGTAATATTCTATATATTTATTTGATTCAAGGAACGAGAAATATTTCAGAATTCCAGGAATTTTGAAATACTTCTAAGAATATTAAATAAATCAATGACAACAACTTTTATGTAAATAATTTCAAAAATTAATTTTTGACTGTAAAATAAAATAGCGTTGTTCTGTTAAAAAATAATTATAAATGATTGTAATCTTAATATAAAAAATTACTATAAATTACATAATATAAAAAAAATATATTTTTTTATAAATCATAGTTTTTTTGAATAATTCCGGAAAAGTTTAATAATAATAATATTTAAAAGTGTTATATAATCCACATGTGATAAATTGCAATTCGTTGAATGGAAGTGTTTAATTTTGAATAATGAATTTTTTAACTGCAAGTAAAATTGTTATGTCTGCACTCAAAGGGATTTTTTTTAATGCTTCAGATGGAAAAAACGTCTTTCGATAAAACGCACCTCAACACTTTACAAAAAAAAAAAAGAAAAAAAAAGAAATACTAAGCGACACTTACGTACTTTATAGCGGAAAGAAATACATTCGGGTAAAAGTAAAAATATCTTTTACTGTTTTTTTTTAAAAAGAAGAGAGTGAGAGACAGAGAGAAAAACAAAGTATACTGGATGTTACTTTATCTGAAATGGAAATTTAAAACGGGACGATTTTCTCAAATTCTATTTCAAAATTATTTTTCCAAAATAAAGAAATATTCTCGTTTTTTTCTATCAATTTTCAGTCATTGGGAAATTTAATCCTGTTTTTTTCAAAAATGAAAAAAAATTTTACATTTTCCAAGTTTTTATAGTGCATGTAATGAAAAAAAGGGAAAATAGAAAAAAATTAGATAATCTAAACAGAAATTTAAATTATGTAGTAAAAGGAAACTTTCGTTCTACGGGAAATTTATTTTTGAAATTTTCGGTTCAGTAGAAACAACAATTCCAAGTCGGACGGAAAAGATTTATTAGATTGTAATTTTAGTTTACGTTTGTAAATGCAAGTTTTCGTCAGAACACAAATATTTACTTTCGAATATTTAATTAAAAATATTTAACATTAAAAATTTAAAATATTTAACCTTAAATTCCTGTCTCAGTGGTAAAAATAATTTTAGGTCAGACAGAACATAATTTTTAGTGGTAATTTTAATAAAAGTAGTAAAAACAAAATTTCGTCGGAGAAAAAAAATTTATTTTTACACTTTTTAGTAGATAAGTTATACAATGGAATATTTTAGTAGAAATAGTATTTTTTTAGTTTAAAAATTTTCGTCTTCATTTGTGAAAATATTTTTAGGTCAGACAGAATTTTCTAGACTATAATTGTAATTATAATTGTTCATAATTGTTTATAATTGTTTATAATTGTTTATAATTGGAATTAGTAATTTTGTAATTGAACAGCTAATTAAAAAAAAGAGTAATTGAAAAAATTTTCCAAGTAGTCGAAACGAGCTTTTGTCAGACAGACCTTTTTGATAATTGTAATTTTAATTTCAGTAGTAAAAACAATTTTTCGTCAGACGGACAAATTTTTACCTTTCTACAATTTTTATCTCTAAATACATTTTAACTCGGACCCAATCACTTAAGTAGTAAAAGTAAATATACAATTTAGACAGAAAATAAAAATTAAGTAGTAAAAATGAACTTTAGTCAGACAGAAAAAAATGTATTTTTAATAATTTCCTTTCCAGTGGAGTTAATAAATTTTAAGTCTCGTAAATAATTTCAATAATAAACGTTTGCCGAAACTAAATTTAATTTCACGTTCATTCTCAAAGCAAATGTCGAACTCGTTCAATGTATTTTACCGTTAGAAAATTGACTTTCCTAAGATGAGTGATATTCAGGACATTCTACTAAGGATGCTTTAGAAACAAAGGCTGACAAAGTAACAACTGCATCAAACTCCAAGCTGAAACCATCTAAATTAAAGGAGAATATCACTTTGAGTTGCATTACTCGAAATTAAATTCCATTAAAATTCAATGAATATAAAATTAATCGAGAAAATTTATAAACGAACGTAAAATTAGTAATATTAGTTTATAAATTTCCCCCCACAAAATGTTTCCTCCTCAGTATTTTTTATACTCTAGTTAATAAAAATAAATAAAAATATTTTCTTCCTTTTTTAAAATTTAATATTTTTTAATATTTAGTCCATTAACAAAATTTCTTCGATATTAACAAAATAAACAGAAATTATTTACAAAAAAGAATTTTCTAATCGATAAGTTAAAATTTTCTTTTTTCGAAAATTGAGACATTTTTATGTTCTAAAGAAAAGGAAAAAAATATCGTTTCAAGTAACAGTTTTTTTTTTTTTGAAATATAAAGAAGAACGAAAAACAACAGAACACGAGAATAGAATATATGTAAAATGAATTATAGAAGATGTAAATTGGAGCAAATATTGGAAAATGAAAATATTCTTTTAAACTAGGATAAAATGGAGAATTGGAGCAAAACCAGTCTGGAAGACCATTAACAAAAAAAAAAGTAAGCAGAGGAGAATAAAACATTAATTCGACTATCAAACTGTGGAGTTGACGTAAAGTTTTTCTTATCGAATTTACTGTCAGAAAAAAAAAATTCTTCATCAGATATATATAATATGAATAATATACGAGGAAATTCTCAAATAAACTAATTGAGAATATTCCAATAAAGTGAAATTTTTGTAGAGTAAAATTTTTTTCCATTAAAAAAAAAAGAAGTGCATTGAAAAATTAAACTTTTATCTATAACGATAAATGGTTGAGAATAAAAAAAATTATTTTCGCAAGGGAAATTTATCTTTTATTTTATAAATTCTTGTATCAAAAGATTAGAGTTTTTATTTGAAAATTAGGCCAAGAACAGTTAAAGAGTGTTCATTACTTCTAAAAATTATTAAAAATAAATGAGATTTGAAGAGGGTCGTCGCGTCGCTTCGATCTGCCTAATGGTTATATTTTATTTAGTAAACTTTATTAAGCATTAAGAGTATTTTTTTTCTAAACGTGTCAGTTTTTTTTATACGAAATTTAAAAAAAAAAAACAATTTATAAAAAATTAGGAGCAAAAC